TCGAGGAGGTTACGTGGGGAGAGCAGGGACTTGCCACTAATGGCATGGTCTGCGCCGGCGGTCGCGATAACTCCTCACGTAGGCCGCCGCCAGCGGCCGTCCCCGAATCGCGGGGGGAGGAGGAGGATGAGGAGATTGAGGTGGCGTCAATGGGCGAAAAGCACTGCAGACTAGAGGGCGAGGTTGTATTGCAGCAGGAGGGGCTAGAACTACTCAAGGCCGGTGGTGAACGCTTTAAGCAGTCCGAAGTGTTGCGAGACAAGTAACTCGTCCAATGGCGTTCACTAAGCTGGCGCAACAGCGGCGCTTCAACAGATCTGAACGAAAGGGTAATGCAAAGTTTGAGAGCAGATTCCACCAAGATATTGCGAGGAGCGGCGAACACCACTCATGCATACTACGCGACCTGCGGGGGGGGGACACCAGTATTGCAGGCGACGTTGGTAAATTTTATAACTGAAATCAATTACTGTACTACATACGAAAGCGTGCATACATATGTATCTGCTTTCAGGATAGTCTGCTTATTATTCTATCTGTACAGATCAGGAATTAGAAAATATGCATCCCGAGAAATTTTAAATTGAAGAAGTTCTTTGGGATATAAAGTAAATTTAATTAGTGCAATTTCGAGTCTGGTGCCCCGGCTCCTATTCAGACTAAGGAAGTGTGCAATGAAGAACTAAAATTTCAAACGTGCGGAAAAATCAATAGTTATACGGGGTGCGACCTGATTGGTAGGTGCGGTCTCAGTCAGTCTGTGTCCTGCCGCCTTCTTCTCTTCCACCGTTTTTTGAAGTGTTCATAAAAAACCATCTAATTGTATGTGCCAGCTGATGCATGAGTCGTCGGAGTGCATGGCCTCAAGAAATTCTCGGCCATTTTTGGAGGGGCAAACTCCAAACTTCTTCAGATCAGGAATTTTACCCTATCGTTTTTAAATGTTACATTTTTCCAGGTTCTCACGAAATTCCGTCCCTTATAAACAAATAGGGAGCTAAAAAGGGGCACACGCACATTCCTTCAAATAAACTGAACTGCATTCTCGTAAAGATCGGAGACACAGAGTACGTTTGCCGGCCGACTTAGACTGTCGCAGCCCTCATATAAAGGAGGTGAGCAACACACTACAAGTAACTGAGAACTGTCCCTGCTTTCAAATGAAAAAAAAAAAACAAAACAACAGTGAAGCTAAGTTTGAATGGATTCAGTTCGCTGAGCCCTCAGTTGCCTTCTTGAAAGCTTAGAGAATCTGCATTTGATGTGAGCCTACACAGCAACGCTGAAATGTGTATCGTGATTTTGCAGACATCTTTTTTAGTTCGGACAAAAAGGATCCAAGAAAAACCGAAGTGGGATGTGTCAGACAATGCATCATCTCTCTACGAAAATCTCGGGAAAATCATTGGCGTTCCGGAGGGGGTGGGGATATGCAGTTCACCTAAGCGCAATTTTGGAACAATCGAAAGCAGAAGTGCCTATTCAGAGGAAAAAAGGACGAGTTTGACCGCATCACTGAGTCCGATAACGGGATACACCTAAGATTACCACCGCCAATTATCGAAATGTGGAGACCCCGAAGCTCGTGGTCGTCTGCGTAGTGTTACCGCGGAATCCGCTGGCAACTG